TCGGCTTTTTCTTTCTATAAATTTCATTTTTAGAGTTTTTTCAACAAACGACTGACCGAATGGATGACTGAGAATTCGTGGTTAACAAGAAAATTTTGTGATGATCTTCTGTTAAAACTAAAATCAAAACACCTAGATCCAGTTATTGAGCAACTTCAAGGGAGAGAAGATTCGAAGTTATCTTTTGATGACATCTTGAACGTTTACCGACGTATCAAAGACGACTACGAGGCAAACGCAGTTGGTGCTGAAGGTGCCATTGCTGTTGCGTTCTACGACTTTCATCCCGTAAGAAATCTTCATTTTATTCTGATTGTTCTCCAGATAATTTAGATTTATCTCTGAGTTCACACGTAATCAAAGAAATTCGCATTCGTCAGTAGTTACTCAGCACTGCCTCACCTTCGTTATTTCAAATCAATAAGCTTGATCAATGACGTCCAGAAAGTGTTTGGCTTATAATTGAAACTCAGTTGAAATTCTCGCGCTGTTTCCATATCCTCTTTCAGATACTAGCTGCGGATACTAAACACTACTTTGATAAACTGAAACAACTGGAAGATTTTGACGAAAGTACCGCGAGGGAAATAGTAGCAGAAGCTTTCACAGAGCGAGAAAGGAGACGGCTTGAGGTACGTCATGCGCACACGCTGGAATTATGACATCGTTGTAAGAGAAGAATGGAAATGTAGCGATTGAAACTGTTAAACAGATTATAGACTCTCAAGACAGCAGGGGTGTAAAGGTTTTGAAGGTTTTCGGAACCTGTTTAAAACTAATCTTAAGTTAACAACATACAAAAACTCTACCTTTCTGTGACACTTGAATCTGAATAGGCTTTTATGTTTATTCTTGAGGCCTCCTGGTTGGCCTTGTCGTATTTTGTTCACGATTCGAAAGAAAAGACATCCAAAACTGCCTATTTTGTGCTATGTTTTTCAGGATGAAAACAATGATTTACAGCAAGAAAACCAAACAATGAAGAAAGAGGTATTTAATTCATTTTCGTGAAAATTTCTAGTTCCCTCAAGGAAGATAGAAGATAACAATTTATGTCCCAAGCTAAGAAATGATGCAACCTCCACATTCTCATTTTCAATTTTGGACAATAGCAAATGCCTTTTTCTACCAAATGAAATAGTCTTAGGTCATCATTGCATCGTTATGGGAATAGATGAATTGCGCACAGGCCAACATTTTCAATCCTTTTGAAAAAGGCTAAATTGTTTCCTTTATTTAATTGTTGTCGCTGTGCACTCAGAAAAATGTAGGATTGTCTTTTTTTCTCTTCTGTTAAGATGCTAATGCTGATTGCCAGATCAGAAAGCGAGAGAGCTGCGCTGCGAGAGCAAAGGGAAGAAACAATGAAAAAAGAGCGCGAACAATTGCAGAATATGAAGCAGGCAGGCCTGATAGAAGCCCAGCAGCAAAGGGAAAAGTTCATCAATGAAAACCAAGCCCTAGGCGAGAGACTACTGGGGGTGCGAAACGAAAACGAGGAACAAATGAAAATGATAAAAAGCATGTCAGAAATGATCGCTGAACACCAAAGGGAGAAAATGCAGCTTCTTAAACAAATGAAGACATCTGCTTATGAAGAGGTCAAGGATTCGAACCNAGATGACGAATATGTTGAAAAGGTGGAGGATTTGCCAGACATGATGACTTCAAGGGCGCAAATTGCTCGTGATCTACACCAAAGGTTGGCAGAAAACGAAAGAGATCAAAGGGATCTCAGAGCGGGTGAAATCCTGAAGAGAGTTCTCAAGTTTATCGAAGATATTGCGCCACAGGTTGGCGCAGCAGCAGCTCTTTATCCTACGTCTTCTAGTTATGCTATGCCAGTAGCCACAGCCGTGCAAACCATCGCCCGAGGTTTGCAGTCTTTTGACTGCAGTATTTTGTAACTATTTTCTGACGGAGACTTTTTGAATACTTTTGTAGAAAAAAAAACGTGGGCTAGCAGCTAGATGTTGGGAAGCTGTGTTTCGGGCTTCATTAAAGTTACCGGTGAACATCATATAACATTTAAAGAGAAGAGGACACCAATACGTCTTTTTAGGTTTTTGGAAAAATTCAAGGAGGTATTTTGTGTCTTATTTCATGCAAGAACATTAAAAACTTCAATACGATTATTTACCTATTGTAATCTAACCGTATAACAGCTAAATTTGAGAGTAATCTTGAATCCTGGGATAAGTTCAATGGTTCTGGACCTTTTTCGCTCTCGAAAACATGTTGCAGTAAGCAAAAGGAACACTTTGGATAGTTCCAACTTTGGAAAGCTCCCCTCTAGGTTTTACACTTACCTATTAATAAAAGAAAAAAAGTTTCAGAACTCTTTAACCCTTAACAAGTTTCAGCGTAGCTCTCTTGCTATTCTTTCATGTGTGAAGTTATTTCATTAACAAGGAAAGGGAAACCTATCTACCAGATATCGCTTAACAGGGACGTCCAAATTTCCCTTGCCTCTTGAAGCTTCTGTTTAAAAAGTTAAAAAGGAGACTTTTTAAAAGGGCTCCCAATCTGTTTGAAGTCAATGATCCCAGCGATTCTTGAAGCAGCAGATTTCGGCAATAGCTTCTGCAAAACATGTCGATATTCTCTTCCTGTCGATTCTGATCTTATGAACGAATGAAATGTCATGTTTAATCAATGAACATGAAAACCATCAGTTGTGTTTGTCAGACTTTATTAGAGACCAGTAAACCCTCGGTATCGTCCTTTAAAAGGCTATTTATTACAATACTCCAATTCGAGTAATTCCTAACTTTTCCCGAAAGCAAACGTCAAAAATGTTTTAATCGGAATTCCACTGGGTCAATACTAGCGAAGGAAAGAAAACATACGAAAAAAGAAAAGAGGAAAATTAAACACGTGAAACGAGTAAACTAGGCGCAGAGTTTATAACACCTTTTTTGAAAGCCTATCTTGCATCATACCTTTAACAAAAACTGATCTAACTTTCGTCAAGGTACGATTTCTAGTAAAGGATGTGACATGCGTTAGTAACAATTTACCATGTGTAACTGAGACAAACTAATCAAAACCGCATTAAGGATTGCTTTGTGCTGATTTTATTGATATACCCAAATTTCCTATAATTTTGCCATCCCCTATATCTGATGGAGAGCATTAGGATAGAGTGCTCTGTCATTCATCTTGATATTAAAGCTGTCCTGTATTTTGAAATTTGACCTAAGCTGTAGCTTGTGGAAACAACAAGAAAGAAACCAGAATTATCATTTAGCTACATTCCCTCGCTAATAAACTCCAATTACTAGTAGCAGGGCTTCCACGCGCGCCTCGCGCGCGTGGGGCAGAGCCCCATACCCATGGAATATGGTCAACCTCTTTTCGTTTGGTTGTCACGTGACTGACCGAGCGTACGTAAGTACGTGCCTTCGGATTGTACGGGTAGGGTAGGGGAGACTATCAAAACGAAGGGAGGGGTGTCTCAGGCGAGTCTTGGCAAATGCACATCTTTTAAGTTATCATTATCAATATTACGAATTTGGGAGCCCTACTTTTAGGCCTGGCTAAATTTATATATTACTTGATCACACTCCCCTTGGCATCATAACGCAAATAAATTGGTTATCCACTCTTAAATCTTTCCCACACCACTAAGTGCCTCGTGCAAAAGACTTGCAAACATTTTTTCTTAACCTTTATTCAGGCTTTCAATTGTTGTCGTTATAACCACATGGAAAGTAGTCTTTTTCGAATATGTCTCCTTCCGTTCGAGCGATTGGAAGATCATCATATGGGCCCACATTCATTAGAGTGTGAGGCTTCGAATTTTGCTTTAGCCATTTTGGAATACATTTTAAATCGCTTTTCTGGGTCAAGATTGTCTATTCTTTCAGTTT